GAAGGCAAGAGGACTGCCTGAGCTCACAGGTTCGAGACCAGCCTGGGCAACCTGGCAAGCCCTTGTCTCTACGATAAATTAAAAAATTAGCCAGTCATGGTGGCACCCACCTGTAGTTCCAGCTACTTGGAAGGCTGAGGTGGAAGGATCACCTGAGCCCAGCAGGTTGCAGCTGTGGTGGCCATGAGCGTGCCACTGCACTCCAGCCTCAGCACCAGAGTGAGACACTGACTCAAAAAATGATTTTTAAGCTCTTTACATGTCAGTCTAAAAACTCAAAATCTTCTATGTAGGTTTTAATTTCCTCTATAATATCTTTAATTCCAATAGCACTTTATTTCTGGGAATTTGGCAACAGATTCTTAAATATGACACCAAGCACAAGCAAGAAAAAGGGGAAAAAAACATAAACTGGACTTCATCAAAATTTAAAACTTTGCATAACAAAGGACATTATCAAGAAAATAAAATGACAATCTATACAATGGGAGAAAGTATCTACAAAACATAAATCTGGTATGAATCTAGTATCTAGAATATATTTTTAAAATTGTTACAGCAAAAAGATTAAAATCTCAATTAAAAATGCAAAATAGACTAGAATAGACATTTCTCGAAAAAAGACATACAGATGTCCAATAGATGCATGAAAAGTTATACAACATCACTAGCAACTTGCATTAAAATGAAAATTAAAACCACAATGAGGCTGGGTGCTCAAGCCTGTAATCCCAGCACTTTGGGAGGCTGAGGTGATGGGATTGCCTGAACCCACAGGTTCGAGAACAGCCTGGGCAACTTGGTGAGCCCTCATCTCTACAATAAATCAAAAAATTAACTGGGTGTGGTAGTGCATGCCTGTAGTTCTGGCTATTTGGAAGGCTGAGGCGGAAAGATCACCTGAGCCCAGCAGGTCAACTGTACGCCAGCCTGGACAACGGGGACTCCAACCCAAAAACAACAACAACAACAACAAAACACAATGAAACACCACTTCACACCCACTAGCCCATTAGCATCACTATTTAAAAACAAAAACAGAAAACTACCAAGTGTGACAAGTTGTAAAGAAAATGGAAAATTCACATAATGCTGGTGGTCATGTGAAATGATACAGTCACTGTGGAAAACATTTGGGTAGTTACTCAAAGAGTTAAACATAGAATTATAATATGACCAAGCGATTACCTTCCTAAGCATATACAGATGGTCCCTGACTTATGAGGTACAACTCATAAGTTTTCAATTTTATGATGGTGCAGAAGTCATATGCATTCAGAAAGTGTACTTTGAAAACCCATACAATCACCGGGCTCGGTGGCTCAGCCTGCAATCCCGCGCCTTTGGGAGACTGAGGTGAGTGGATTGCCTGAGCCCGCGGGTTCGAGACCCACCTGGGCAGGCGAGACGTCATATCTACAATAAATCAAAAAAATTAGCCGGGTGTAGTAGCACATGCCTGTAATTCTGGCTACTTGGAAGTCTGAGGTGGAAGGATCCCTGGAGCCCAGCAGGTCGAGGCTGCGGTGGCCGGGAGCGGCCACTGCACTCCAGTCTGGGTGACAGTAAGACTCCAACTCAACAACAACAACAAAAAGAAAACCCATACAATCATTCTGTTTTTCACTTTCAGGACAGTATTCAACAAAATTACATGAGGTATCCAACACTTTATTGTAAACTAAGATTTGTGTTAAATAATTTTGCCCCACTAGAGACTAATGTAAGTGTTCTGAGCATGGTTAAGGTGGACTGGGCTAAGAGATGATGTTTGGTAGGTCATGTGTATTAAATGCATTTTTAACAATGATATTTTTAACTTAGGTTTATTAAAATGTAATGCCATCATAAGTCAAGGAGCATCTATACTCAGAAAAGGTGAAAACAGGTGCTCAAACAAAAGCTTGTAAATGAATGTTCACAGCAGCACTATTCACAAAATCCCCCAAGGGGGAAACAATCTAAATGTCCATCAACTGATAAATACAAAGGGTGCCAAAAAAAGTATACGTATTTTTAAAAAGAAAAACAACTGTATTAAAATTGTAATGTTCAATAAATACCAACAACAAAAGATGAATACAAATCACATTTGCAATTACACATTGCTACCATAATTCAATTCAACTTCAAAAAGTAATTCACAGATAACATCGCTTAAAATGTGTATGTATATTTTTGGCACCCCTGGTGTATACATAAAATGAGGCATATCATACAAAAAGTACCGTTCAAGTTGGGTTTGGTGGCTCAGCCTGTAATCCTGTGCCTTTGGGAGGCTGAGGTGAGTGGATTGCCTGAGCCTACGGGTTCGAGACCCGCCTCGGCAACTTGGCGACACCTCATCTCTACAATAAATCAAAAATTAGCTGGGCATAGTAGTGCATGCCTATAATTCCGGCTACTCGGAAGGCTGAGGCGTAAGGATTGCCGGAGCCCAGTGGGTCGAGGCTGCAGTGGCCGGGAGCGGCCACTGCACTCCAGTCTGGGCAACGGAGTGAAACTCCAACCAAAAAAAAAAAAAAAAGAAAGAAGCCAGACTCAAAAGGTTCTGATTCCTTCAGTATGAAATATCCAAAATAGGAAAAACCCAGACACAGAAATCAGATTGGTAGTTGCTAGAATCTGGGGGAGAAGGGCTTGGGGAGTGACATCTTGACCCATACAGGGTTCATTTTTCGGGAGCTGAAAATGTTTTGGAACTAGATAGAAGTGATGGCTGCACAACAATGCAAATATACTAAATGTCATTAATTGTACACTTGAAAATGGTCAGTTTTATGTTATATATTTTTACCTTGAGGTTTTTTTCTATGATTTTATTCTATATCATCCTGTTCTGTGTCATGGTTGCAATATTTTGTAGTATCTCTTCAAGAAAGTAAGTTTTCTTCTTGCAGAATCTGTTTTGTCCTAGTCGCTTTCTCATATGATTGGATTTTCACAATGTCTGATAATCCAGGGTTGCTTGTTCACATTCCAAAGAGAGACAAGTAAACTAAGGGATGCTCTGGTCACCTGGGGGCGCTCAGAGCTGTGCACTCCATGCTAGGTAATCCGGTTGGCTCTGTGTTAGGAAGTACTCAATAATAGGATTTTCTTTTAAAATTCTTTTTTAGGCTAGTCCAATTCCCTAGAAAAGGCTCTAAAAAACTCCTGCTTGGAGGATGAAGTCACCACAACTGCCAACGTTCTGGGAGCTGAGTACCAGAAGAGAATAGAAATTCATTTTCTAATTTATATGGAAATTGTCATATAATTCATTTTTTAAAAAACCCTAAAAGTTAAAAGTTATCTCTTATAGTGACTTTATAGCTCAAATAGCATCAGCATACACTGTAACTGTTAAGGTGTTCATCTCATTTTATAAAGGCTTGTGTGGCACCATCTGAGATGGCACTTCAACAAGAACTTAATATACACTTACTGACAAGATTAAGTCCATGAACAGAAATGCCAACAAAACTAGGACAGCAATAACATTTATAGGACAATGAACCACTTTTCTGGAATAACATATTCAAAATAAGAAAGAGTAAAGAATCTTTACATCAAGGAGAATCAAAATTACATACTCAGAAGCCATGACTAAGTCAGCAGAGAAAAGTTTACTTAAAATTATAGTTCCTTTCTTGATTTCCATTAAGATAGGCCAGTTTGTTAGAATAACCAAGGAAACAGCACTGGTCTCCTTTCCATCCACAGCTGAGAATAAAACCGCCATGCAAATACCAAGGTCATCTTCCATCTAATCTACGGCATATAATTATCATTTCCAGTTTGTAGAACGGTGAGAATTCTTCCATTTCAGCCACGGTCAGTAAAAACTCTTATGAAAATTCCTGCTAAAAGGACCACAACAGCAAGGGCTAAAGCCATTCCACGATACAGAATAAGTTGTCGCACTGTCAAGATATTCCCGCCGGTGGACACTGAGAACTGGGGGCTTTCTTCCACCACCATCAGTTGGAGGGTCTGGCTCTCTAGTCTGATGACATCAGGCAAAATTATTCCATCAGTTACTTCTCTTCCCAGGACTGACAGATCTGTTTGCAGAGAACAGTGGGGCATTTACTTACATATGGGTAGAGCAAGGGGAATTTACTGAAATTTACATGAGAATACGCTGTAAACAATGACCATCAATCACTGGTTAGTTCACATGAGGTCACATTAAAAGATCATTTCAGGCCAGGCTTGGTGGCTCAGCCTATAATCCCAGCACTTTCCAGATACCTAAAGTTGGTTTCAAACTTCTGCCCTCAAGCAATCCTCCCACCTCAGTCTCCCAAAGCACTGCCATTACAGGTATGAGCCACCATGCCTGGCCTGAAATCGAGTACACCAGAAAATGGCCTCTGTTACCTGTGGGGGCAGGTGTGGTCTCCTTACTCCTTTTGAGCCCAGCTCGAACCTGTGCCTAGAAACAAGTGTCATATGAATAAATGAAGTATAAGTCAAGTCAAGGTAGTGGTCATCTGTTAAAACTTCTAAAACACTGCTGAAATTACTGCTCACGGGCTAGTCTTCCTTGGTCCCAAATAGGCCAGAAGCCAAAAGAACATAAAAGCAGAAAACCCATTGTTCCCTTGCTCTCCTGCTCGCCTTGCAATAATATTATGGAAAGCTGCTCATGGCTAGAGCTCAGATTTGACATAGTGTTGTGCCTTTAGAGCCCTGCTCACAAATAACAGGAATAAAGTCTAAAGGTCAATGGTGCTGTCATCCAGAAGGTAGTTTATGGTCCAAATTAATCTCCTATGAAGTTTAGTCCCTGAATAAAGCAAACAAGATAGGAAAGACATAATGTATCACCACTAGGCAAATCCAAGACCTAAAGGTTGGTCAGAGTGAGACAGTGATGGCTGGTACGCATATACTCGTGTGTTTTATTAATAATTTACTACTAATAATGTTAATTTATTAATAATCCTGCCCCTAAACCAACCTGCCACCTGTTTCATCTCAAGGCTCGAACAAGAAAAAGAGCTCCCAATTGAACACACAGATGCTCATGTCAGTCAAGATTCTGACCCTCCATCTACACAGAGTTCTGCCCCCTAAGTATTTCCCACAGATCACAGATACTAAAAAATTGCTTTCCCCACCTTTTTTGTCCTCAGAAAAAAACGGAAAACAAGAAAAAGAAGGGTAAACAACAGTTAGCAAGTCAGTATACACAGGAAACAAACTACTACATTTCTAAAGACTATCACACCAAAACAGCAGAATATTTTTTAAACTAATTTTTTTAAGGTCAAGTCCCTGATTAGTAGATGTTGAATCAGCTCTATGTTAAGAGGAAAAAGTGCTGATTTACGATTTTCTCCTGCCTTCCCCTTCCCCAATATGAAATGTATTTCATGGATCACGGTGAGTTACATTGCCAGTAGTGTTTTTCTCATTGTGATCCTAAAAGGTCCCTTACCAAGCAGAGCCACAACTCTAAATCACACTCGGACTCACCTCCTCTGCAACTTTATTCCAGTTGATCCTCAAGATGCACACCAAGTAGAACAGGGCTTGAAAGAAGACACACACAATCAACCCAGACCAGAGACCTAAGGGTATAACATGAATGTCAGAGTTTAGATTTTTCTTTTCTTTTCGAGTCAGAATCTCACTTGCTCAGGTTGGAGTGCATTGGCATGCTCATGGCTACCGCAGCCTGCTGGGCTCAGGCAATCCTTCCACCTCAGCCTTCCAAGCAGCTGGAAGCATAGGCATGCACTATCATGCCTGGCTAGTATTTTTTAAAATTTACTGTAGAGATGAGGTCTTGCCATGTTGCTCAGTCTGGTCTTGACCCCTGGGCTCAGGCAACCCTCTTGCCTCTGCTGCCCAAAGTGCTGGGATTACAGGCGTAAGCCACTATATCCAGCTAGATTTAATTGTTCTCATGATCATTGAAATTCTCCCCTAATGACTGCTATCCAGAGAAAAATTTCAGGTAAATTAACGTCCCTGAAATTTTAGATACTTAGGGGCCAGGGATTAGACCTAAGCCTACCACTGAGCTATTAACAGAAATGAATCGGTCAATAAAGACCGCAAAGCAACTCCAAAACTGTTTGCTGCTTCACATGTTAACAAAGATGTACTGTCTTTGATTTTATGTCAGGAATAGTTTTAAGTGCTGGAGATGCAGAAGTGAACAGGCAGAGGAGAAAGGTGCCCCTAGGGAGCTGATATTCTCCTGCAGGGGGGCAAACAGTAAACAAAGAAACAGTCACAGGGTCATTTTAGGGGCGATAGGGGCCATGACACACACTGACAGGGCCACATCATCACGACCAGAAGAGGAGAGTCTGCCAGAGATGCCAGGCCTCTTTGAGGTGGGGACCTGGACAGTGAGGAGTCAGCCATGGGGGGCAGCACAGGCACTGCAGGCAGAGAGAGGAAAGAGTAGAGTTCAGACCAGAGGAGGAAGCCAGCCTGCGAGTCCTAGGAGCAGAGACCAGTTAGGAAGGAGCACGGTGGCAGGGGACTGTACGGGAGACCAGGTCAGAGAAGCAGGCCACGGAGGACATGCAGGCCACGGGAGGGCCCAGGGTTCACCCTAAGTCTCATGGGGACCCACTGGAGGGGCTAAGCCTGGTGTGGGCATTTATGGATGTGAGACCTGATGTGTACAAACAATCCCTTCAACTGCTATTGGAAAAGATGACTGAGAATCCAAGAAAGCTCTAGAAAAGATCATGTAAACAATGTCAGCTGGATGCAGTGGCTCATGCCTGTAATTCCAGCTGTCTGGGAGGCAAAGGTGAGAGGACTGCCTGAGCCCAGGGGTTCAAGACCAGCCTAGGCAACTTTGCGAGATATCTCTACAATAAATCAAAAAAAATAACCAGGTGTGGTGGCACACTCCTGTGGTTCCAGCTACTTGGAAGGCTGAGGCAGAAGAATGGCCTGAGCCCAGCAGGTTGAGGCTGCAGTGGCTGTGAGCATGTCACTGCACTCCAGCCTGGGCAAAAGAGTGAGATTCCAACTCAAAAACAAAACAAACAAAACAAAAAAACCAATGTCTATCTACTTATGAGAAGAAACTATTTTTAACCACTGAATACCAACACTTGGCAGGTGTGGTGGCTCATGCCTATAATCCCAGCACTTTGGGAGGCAGAGGCAAGAGGACTGCCTGAGCCCAGGGGTTTGAGCCGAGTCTGGGCAACAGTAAATCAAGAAAAATTAGCCAGGCATGGTGGCGCATATCTGCATTTCCAGCTACTTGGAATGCTGAGGTGGAAGTGTCGTCTGAGCCCAGCAGGTTGAGGCTGCGGTGGCCATGAGCATGCCACTGCACTCCAGCCTGGGCAACAGAGTAAGACTCCAACTCAATAAACAAACAAACAAAACTGCAACCACTTATATCAACAATTTCATTGCAAAGCAAACTGCTTAGACTACAGGCACAATTTATTATCAATTGGGAATTAGTGTCCTAACTCATTCATAACATGTCTGTAGTTCCACATTGGCAAAGGTACTGAGACTGTTCCTCACAATTACTCCTGGCAAACAAACAAAAATTGGAATCATCTGTGCAGTTTAGAAGTCAATGGAATGGCAGTTTATACTCTGATTGGTGATTCCATTTCTAGGAATCAATCCCAAGAAAATATCATAATTCATATGCCTCTGTTGATCAACACAGTATTATATATAAAAAGAAGCAACTTAAATGTGCACTATTAGGAAGACATTAAGCAAATGATATAAGAAAATATTGTATAGTTACTAAAAACCCTGTCTTTAACGGTTTTTAGTACATGGGAGGAAATTTGTGAATAACAGAAAACATACTGAAATAAAATACTTTGAGGTGACAGTTTTTGTAGTTGAGAAGTGAAATTATAGGTGGTTTTAATTTTCTTCTTTATATTTTTAATCATTTTCCCCAAATTTCCAGAATGTCAATGTATACTTCCGTAATTTTTAAATCTTACTTAACATTTATCACATAGGACATTATGCTGAGTGAAATAAGGCAAGCATAGAAAGACAAATACCGCATGATCTCATTTATAGGTGGAATCTAAAAAGGTCAAACTCAAAGATGCTGAGAGTAGAATGGTGGTTACCAAGTGGTTGGGTTGGGGAGATGTGGTCAAAGGGTACAGAATACCACTTAGACAGGAGGCGAGCATTCTAGAGAACTACTGTACAACATGGCAACTGTAACTCATAACAAGGTACTGCACAGTTGAAAACCACTAAGAGACTTTAAATGTTCTCACAACAACAATAAAAAGTAAGTATGTAGCGCAGTGGCTCAAGCCTGTAATCTCAGCATTTTGGGAGGCCAAGGAGAGAGGATTGCCAGAGCCTGCAGGTTCAAGACCAGCCTGGGTAACATGGTGAGACCTCATCTCTACAATAAATAAATTTTAAAAATTAGCCAGGTGTGGTAGCGCACGCCTCTAGTTCTGGCTACTTGGAAGGTTGAGGAGGAAGGATAGCCGGAGCCCAGCAGGTTGATGCTGGGGTGGCTGTGAGCATGCCACTGCACTCCAGCCTAGGTGATGGAGTGAGACTACAATTCAAAAAAAATAAAGTTAAGTATGTAGTGATGGATGTGTTAATTAGCTTAATTCAAGACGTTTCACAACATACACACATATCAAAACATCATGTTTTACAGCATAAATATATACAATTTTTGTTTGTGAATTTAAAAATTTTACTTAACAAATCTAAGCACCTACTATGTACAACAGTAAGAAGCACTCTAGTGGATAAAGTGGGAAATCTGCTGTGTCACTTATTCTAAGGGAGCTTAAAGTCTAATAGAAAAGTGTATTTTTGTAGGGACCAAAGCCAGGTTCAAACTTTATCTGTACAATGACCACTGGTATACCTAATTGTGAACGGTATACCACATCTTCAAAATAAAACACAATTTTTTTTAAAGTGTATTTTTTTTTAAGTTTTTTTTTTTAAATTGTTAAAGTTGATTGTAAAACCCCAGTAGCTCTGTAAGGGCAGGGACTATTGCTTTGCTTAGATGGTATTCACTCAGTATCTAGGAAGTGCTTTGTAGAGAAGAAACAGTAATAAATAATTGGCAGTTCTGTTTCCAAATAGAGAATAATGAATTCAGCTTGAGATTAATCAAATACCCCACCAGTCCTAGCCTGCACTGGTCAATGAAAGGGGGGATGACATTGATGATAACTACTCATTAAGCCACCAAGAGATAACATTCCCAAAAAGACAAGATAAGAAGCTAAGACCTAGGCCGGGCTTGGTGACTCAGCCTGTAATCCCATGCCTTGGGAGGCCGAGGTGAGTGAATTGCCTGAACCCGCAGGTTCGAGACCCGCCTGGGCAACTTGGCGAGACCTCATCTCTACAATAAATCC